AGACAAAGTCTCATCGTGTAGCTTTGGTTGACCTGGAACTCACTGTGTAGACTAGGCTTGAATTCAGAGACCTGCCTGTCTCTGCCTCCTGAGTGCTAGCATTAAAGGTGTGTGCTACCATACCTACTTGGCATTTTAAAAGTCAAATTTGCTTGGCAGCTGGATTGACAGCCATTACAACTATTGATTCTTCCTCAGGGTTGTATGTCCCTTATGTAAATAGTTAAAGATGAGACATATTTCAATTTTTTCACATATATATCCTGAAGCTCATTTTAAATAGCGTTTTCCCTGCAAGTCAGCACTTGAGGTCAAGTGTCGAATTTCTGACAGTCTCAGCAACTCACACGGCTTTGGAAGTTGAAACATTCTCCACGCCAACTTTTACGAAGAAGAGTGCTTAGCCCATGCCTGGTCTCCAAGGGCTGAGGGTCTTATGTTCATGCTCATTATCCTACAAACAACCCCCAAGGGAGAGAGAATGTGTCATTCCTACTTTACAAAGTGTACTCAGAGTCCATTTGTAGAAGTTAGGTCCCGATTCTTCCTTCTAGCCCCATGCTTCCAGAAATAAGACTCAGACTCAAAATATATTTACAAGTAGCTTGGCCATGTAGCTAGGCTTTTCTCTTATTAGACCATAACTTAAATTATCCCATTTATTCTAATCTACCTTCTGCCATGTTGCTGATTCCTTGTGCTCACATCTTCCCAGGGTAGGGGGGATCTTCTGTCCTGGCTCTATCCCAGAATTCTTTCTGCCTCCTGGATGTCCCAGCTTCCATTTTACCCTTTCTATAGGCCATAAGTTTGTGACATGTGATCCATCCATGCAATATACAAGATATTCTCTCCAGGCTCACCCATCTGTATCTGTATTCTATTGCTAATAATTGGCAAGTCTGGGATTCACGCCAAAATTACTGTCCCCCAAAGCCACTCTGCTGCTCTGAACAGAGGAGGATATGTCATCATCATGAGTCTCCACCATATCACAATAAAATATCATCATAAAATACAATTATTTTGTAATTGGGCACACTGCTTCTTAGACATACTTAGTGTTTGTATTAGCTTGCTTTTATTGCTATAACTAAATGCTGGAGGCTGGGTAATAAATAAAGAAAAGAGGTTTGTATAACTCATAGTTTTGGAGCGTCCAAAACACGGTGCCAACTTCAGCTTGGCAATAGTGAAGGTCCCCTTGACTGCATCTCATGACAGTAGGAGCGCATGTGAAAGCAAGAGATGACATGGCAAGACAGGAACCCAGAGAGAGGTTGCCTTGTATAACATCTCTCCTGTGAGAGGCCAGGTCCCATCAGAACTTCCTCGGTTCCTTCTGAGGACAGTATTACTAGCATCCCCATCACCTCTGTGAGGTCCCAGCTCTTGAGGTTCCACCAGTTCCGGGCATCTCTTACCACATTCTCAGAGGATGCACTGTAGGCCTTCCCAAACCACAGCACTATCTGTCACACAGCACAACCCATCCCGTCAGCACTCAGCCTCTGCTGCCAGGGAGTGCTGTAGAGGTGTTACAAGTCTGTCATCTGTCCTGCATTGCTAAGTCACCCCCACGGATGCTGGAGGCAGGATCCTCCTTTGCCCCTGTTTGCCCCGTTCTGTCTATGAGAAAACAGTTAGAACAAGTCAGTAGTTGGTCTACCTGGAACTAGAGGCGTGAGTCATCTCAGAACCTATTCCTTGTTAACATCTCATTTAAAAATCCAAAGTGTGATCTAGAGCAAATCTCCTGCAAACGGCACTTGGCTGTTCATGATGCCACACACTTGTAATGCTAACATTTGTTTAGTGATTTTTTTTTTTTTGGTCAAAAAAGCCTATAACTAACAAAGAAATAAATGGAAGGTTCTGGTAGGCAGCGAGGAATGAAGGCTCTGTGCTTCCTGTTCATAGATTCTCCATTTGGCTTTGGCCCGGGAAGAGAGACTAAGGCACATGTTTTACATACCAAGACCGACCTAGACTCTAGGTTCTCTCAGCATCCGTTAGTCCCTACCTGGCATACCCTACCCCTAACCCTGAACTTTCCAGTCCAGGCTGCCCTTCCACTTAGAGGTCCCTTTCTATATAATCCAGACATTTTGGTTTCCTTGCTTGCTGCTCTCTCCTCTTCTCCGAGAGCATGTCCTTTCTTTCTCTTCTCCACTTCCCACCCCTTCTCTCCCCATGGCAACTTCCCTGACCTTCCTTGGGGCCAGTGAACTTGCCCACCCACGAGAAGCTTTCTAATAAAACTCCCTTTAATATATTCTCATCTGGCAGGAATCGGCTCATTTCATCAGTGGTGGGGAAATAACCTTCACCCAACCTTAGCTTCTCAGGGACTCCTAGCCTAGTATTTGCTTCCTTTCTCTAAGGCTGAGTTCTCAGTTCTTAGTCATGGGGTTGCCAGAGCCTCCATATTGGCTTTGAACATCCATCAACAGCACCCACTGGAGTCAGTCAGCTTGCGATTACACCGACTTCCATTTTATCATCCTTAAACACAACCAGTGCCTTGAGTCTGTTCTGATCTCTCTTTTGAGACAACAATGAGCAGAGACTTGTGAGCTGTTGATACAGACATCTGGTTGGCTGTTCCTTGTCTCTGTGCTGCCCCCGCTGGGCAGAGAACTGAACAGCTCTGTCATTGCTGCCTTGGGCTGAGTCTATCTGGACATCCAGACGTACATAATTAGCAGCTTGCTCCTTTGAGTGTAAATGAGTAGTATGTATCCGAGAATGTAGCTGCCACCTTGGCTATTGAGTCACCCCAAGATGGACGCAGTATGTGTATTCACCCATCATCTCTTCAACAGGCAGAAGGGTGATTGGCATGGCCTAGCAACCTCTAGTGAAGGTGGCAGTGTGCACTCAGCTTTCGGTTCTTAACTGCTGACATTTGCCAGTCATAATTACCAAAGTTTGTTTAATATGGAACTGGTGCCCAAGCCTGTTCCTTCCCTGGATGATTCAGATCAATGGGTACTCTGGAGTCTGAGGTTCCCAATGTAGAAGTCGTTCTTGGAAAGAGAAAGCAACCCCCACAGCCCTGCTTCTAAGGACCCAGCTTCCTCTCCCTGATGAGGGATGGGCCTTCTAAGCAGATGAGGATGTGGTGAGGAGTGGAGGGATGGACTTCAGGACTTGTGCCTGATTGCCTGACATGTTCCCTGACCTCTGAAGCTAAGTGTCATCAGCCCCCACCCCTTGTGCAAGAATAACCTTTCTCCTGTTAAAGTCCAGAAACCCAGAAAGCAGATTGCTAATCTTCCGTGGCCTGCTGTGACTACCGGGGGGACATACATTGACACCTGCCCCAAAGTTTATGACCTTCCTGAGGTTTTCTGCCCAATGAGGGTGTCTGTTCAAGATGATTTGAAAGCCAGTAAATCCTGGGATTGAAAGCCAGTAAATCCTGGGAAGAGATACTCCCGTTCTGTTTCAAGATGGCTCCTTGAAGCCACAGAGGAGCTGAGGAATGTCAGCCATGGCAGTAGGTGTGAAAGTTTCAGGAACCTGAGGGAGCCTAGGGTCGCTTGCTAATATCTGTACCAATTCCCTCACACAGGTCCAGGCTTAGGCATTCTTCCTTAAAGGAGCCATCCCACCTGTAACAGCTCATTTCTGTCTTTGATTTGGTCTTTTATCTCGCTGCAACTCTCCAACGTAGACATGACCATTCTAGACATGCAGGACTCCATGGTGGAATGGCCCAGTGCATCCGACCATTGAGAGAGAAAAGCAGAGAATATAAGCACATGGGTGTCCTCTTATTTTCACCCTACTGTGCACTAGAGATGGATGTGTCCTGGACTATGGTTTGTCCTTGTACAGAAGTTCATGTCTCCTTCCATATTAGAATTCTTGTCAAGTGAAGCTGTTGCTGAGGACACAGGACCAGGTCCACTGAACCAGATGACGGGCATCAACTGCCTTCTGTGTCCATGCAACTTGGAAACGAGCAGATGCCTGGTTCTTGGATGAGTCTCCTCTCTATTCACCTGCGTGGTTTTGGCTTGTGCAGACACTGGACAGACTTGGAGACCAACCAAACAGTAGTCATCATACACTAAGAGCATTCCATCAGGACTCAGGCAGGAAACCCCTTGCAGACACTCCACCTCTGTGTCCAAAGGAAGGTTTAGATTTATTGGCACTAATATCTGTATGTTTCTGTCCCTGCAGCCTTAGGAAAATCCAAAGGTACAGTATCCTCTGGTAGCTATGAGGTCACTTTCAGTCTTAAAGCAAGCAAACTGTGTGGTAGTGAGCTCGGCAAGAGGGTGAATGTGCCGTGTTTGGTTGCTTGGCCGATTTACTTGGAGCTGTGTGTCCATCATCAAAATAGACTCTGAGCCTGGAGGCACCATGGGCATGAGCAGCCCCTTCCATGCTATACAGATAAGTGGCTGTGGCCTACAGAGGTCATGCCTTGACAGATTCCCCAGCAGTAGCTAAGCTGGGACCCCCACATTGCACAAAGGATGCATTTACAAGTCTCCTGCTGGTTGGTTCATGTCCGAGACTGGTGCTGTCTGTCTGTGTCCTGCCCCCCTTCATCTCACACGAGAGGAACGTTTCCCTTGCCCCCCAGGTAGGCCACAATCTGCTCTGAGGACAGCTTGAGTTCCACACCAAGGATGCTTTGGGGGCCGTTATCCCAGGGCCTGCTGGCTTTGGCCGAGGGTAAAAGCACAGCTTGTGGACGTCCAAGCTGCTGGCTGTGCCCTGTTGTGCTTTTCCACTGTGGGAGGGCAGCTCGCGCCAAGGCCTGGGCTGTGGGGCTGCATGTCAGCAGGTCCCCAGCAGCTCAGGCACTGGAGTGTTGCTAGCCATACCTCTCCACTGTGGGCATTGCTTCCCAGGACCCAGGAGGATGCTAAGCCTGCTGCTCTCCAAACACAGATTGCTTGAATGTCTCCGCTTCATGGGGGAGGGACCATGTCATCTGTCACATGTGGGTAAGCAGATGTCTTTGTGTCCCTCGCCAGCATGGGTGTGAGGGTCATGGACACATCTTGGGTGGCACGAAGAGGCTCCTCTGCTGGTCGGAAAGCATCCTGCGCCCCGCCTTCCATGCAGCCTCCTGCCCCACCCTCCGAGCTGGCTGCACCCCTGCCTTCACCCCTGCCGGAGCAGGTCCCAGACAGCCCTGCCACTCCAGCTCCTGCGCTCTCTCCATCAGGTGCCAGCCTGCAGCCCACCCCCGAGCGCCCCAGGTAAGCCCAGCCCCACCATGGAAGGCTGGCATGTGTGCTGGGGTGACTGGGCTTTGGCTCTCCCTCCAGGCCTCCTGGATCTGCTCGCCCTGCTCCTACATGTAAGCATTCATGTTTGGCTTTCTGCATCCTGCCAGTCATCTGCATCACCTGCCCTGGATTACCATGAAAAGTCCAGGCTTTCCAAAAACAGCATCCCCAAGCATACATAGAAGATGGCACTTCTCCAGAACTTCCCAGAAGCTGCTGAGGACGTCCCATGGTCCACATCCCTCATCCCATTCCCTGATTTGAATTTTAAGATGTCAGTATTTCTACCTTCTCCCTTTAAGTTTGTAGGGGTCAATTTTACTACTAAAATTAGTGCAGACCAGATATAAAGGATGTGGTAACCTTCGCAGCGTGCTATGTGGTAGGGTTGCCTTTCAGAGAAGAAAGAGAACATCCATTCCATCACCAATTCAGTGAGCATTACCAGAACTTCTGCCCAAATCTGGTAACACGATCTCCAGTGTACATCTCATGTCCCATGCCCCGGTGACAAGAGACAATAGCACTGAGCTCAGCATAGCCCAGGCTGTAAGGAAAGGACACCATACCTGGTGAGGCCCAGGCAGAGGACAAGACTTGGAAGTGGGAGTAACACCATGGAGGTGGCTTGTTTCTCATACAGCAGCCAGAGAAGTAGAGAGACGGCTTGGGTGACTGTTGCTGTGCTAGGGATACATACACTTCTGTGAACACTGGGTGCTCTGTTAGCCCAGGGCCTTTAACTTAGACTCTTCTTATATGAGATTACAGATTTTTGTTTATCATTTGCTTCCTTTAATGAGTAGAATTAATAATAATTCCATTTCAAACTATAAATGTGGTGAAGGGGAAAACATAATTTCTGGGAGGAGCACCCAACACTGTACCCAGGTGAGGAGGCTGCTGAGGACTATGCCTCAGATAAAGCCTGATCCTGGCTGCGCACCTGCAGAACTCTGAGTCCATGGGAGCTGCAGACAGGGCAGTGGGAGCATGGAGATGTACATACAGGCTAGCAACAGTGGGCTAGACAAGCTGATAGAGAGATGAGAGACACACATGTGCAGATTGGCTGAGGTGGTCCCCTCTTGTAGTATTCTTCTTCATCACTTGCATTTCCCATCTGCGGTACATCCCTGTCATACAAATACTCGCTGAAGATGAGTCCCCTGGGTTCTGCAGGCAGCCCAAGGCTATTATACACTGGTGCCCCTCAGGGGCACTTCTGTGGAAGGCATCACTCATTGGTGCAGGTGATTGCGGAAGTCACACATACTGAAGAAGTCTCCTTTGCCTGGAGTGCTGTAGCCAGAAGTGTGGCGGCAGAGGTAGTGTCAGAAGCCCTTGCTGAGAACACAGAGCCCTCTTGGCTCTGGTACATCATGGTGGATAGAAGAAACGTGGAGATTCAGGTGTTTGGTTTTAGAGTGACTTAGAATTCTCCTGTTGAAGACAGGAAGCATATGGGGTGCCACATGTGTGTTCCACATTGCTCACTGGTTACCTGAGGGCAGAGGATGCTGGCTGTGAATATTAAGCTGAGAATGGAACCCAGGATCAGCGTCCGGGAAGGAACAATTACACCTACTTGGGATAGTCAAAGGTTTTGAGAAGGGACTGAGACAAAGCAGTGCGAGAGTCAAGCAGGGCCCCACCACTCAGCACTCCAGTGAGCAAGAAAGGAACTGAAATTGTCTGCACTCAGGAGTTCCCCTGTCCCATGTGCTTGTGTTTCAGTGTGTCTAAAAGCAAGGAACTGTCGCCAGGGTCTGGGCAGAAAGGAAGTCCAGGTCCCATCCAGGGGACAGCCTGCCCAGGGACGCAACTGGGGCCACAGCCGGCTGCCAGCCCCAGCCAGCTTCCTGCAGACCAGAGTCCTCATACCCTCCGGAAAGGTAGGTTCCCCTCTTCTGACCATTCTTAGGCCAGAGATGGATGTTCTTCCTGTTAGCAAGGGCCTCTGGGAATGTTTGCTTAGTGAATCATTTCTAGTCTTACCACTAGAGCTCTGAGAAATTACCCATCCCACCAGAATGCACTACATATGCAGTGTGGTCAGGGTGAGATGGATAGGGAACAGAACTTCCATAATATATCATGATGCTATGGTATTTTACCATAAAATCCCACTGAATTACCACACAACTATGAAGAAACCATTCTCACATTGTACAAAAGAAGCCTATTTATTTTTTAGAAGAGGCTAAAATAATTACCCCCAAGGCATGTAGTAACAAATAGAAGATAGAAACCTGACCACAAATGAGCAGAGCCTGTCTTTCTCGCCTCCACACTGCAGGGTAGGCTAGCCCAGGAAATAAGATATCCTCAGACTGGCTTTTCTTTCATAGAGTGGGTGTGGGGAGGGGTACAGGTGGGAAAGGGCCTGCTGGGCCTTTCTGGGAGTTTCTTCCAGCATTAGTCATGCACAGCCACTCCTCAGTTGTAAAACCAACGTGCATGTTCTCAGGATGCTTGCCTAGCAGTGGGATGTCCAGGGTGCTTGACCCCATTATGGAGACCATTCATCTTCAATACAGGGTAGCAGGATTGGATTAATAAAGGGGAAATGGAGGTACTTCAGAAAGGCTGGGCCAATGGTGTGCTTTACTAATGTAGCCAAGTTGGATGTAGCTCAGTGCTTGACCACTTTCCTACTTCCCAGCATTGCAAACGGGAAATTACAGTTGGCTCATCCATGCTTGTACCCAGGGAGTACAATTCCTGATAGAAAATTGGTAAAAGAAAGTAACCCCTAGCCACAGGCTAAGAAAGGGGAGGGTGCAGTTACCAAGTTACAGTTGTGAGGGGTGGAGCACAGTTGTGTAACTATGGTTAATTAATTAGACATTTCCAAAGAACTAGGGAAGCCTTGGCAAATTCCCAGCACACAGAAGTGATCACACTTGGGGACATGGAAATGGTAATGACTGTAATTTGGTCATTATGCATTGTGTTCCGTTGATACACAAAAGCTATTATATCTGTTAACTCAAAGATTAAAAGCACAAGCTTGAAGAGAGGATCTGAGGGGATGCAGGCTGGGGTGTCTAGGTAGAGGATTTATCACTGTGGGAGACCAAGGTCACTGTGCAGCTTCAGACTAAGAGCACTTACTCCCTGGGAAACACCTCATCACTGACACCCTGAACTAGATAGAATCTTCCCTAAGAGAACCAACCTTCCTGACTCACTCTTAGAATTCAGTGGGAAGGGAGGGAGGGAGGGAGGGAGGGAGGGAGGGAGACAGTCAGAGTTC